GGCGGAATCTTTGCACCAATATTTGCGCCAAAAATGAATGATAAGATATACGTACATTATAAATACACGAAAATAGTGAAAATGCTCCGATTTCGTAAACTGGTGTCTGTGTGTAATCATTAGAACTATCATCAATATTAATGTTATCTGTAACTGACACACGGTATGCGACAAACTAATGTACGTATATACCTATACCCGGTGTGCAAAATCATATAGCATAGTAGTCGCATAGTTGTCACACTGACGGTTGAGAAGTTACGAATAAGTGCCTGTTGACTTCTCATGGATGTGTTATGGACGCTTAACGCCAGGTTGAACGAAGTTACTGTATAAGATATCAACATGTAATTACTATGAGTAGTCAATAATGTCATATTTACAGCTTAATAATGTTAGTACATAAAGATTAACGGAACTTCTCATTTCCTGCGCATAGACTTCGCAATGGTTTTGTCCAGAAAATAAAAAAACCGTAAGTTTACTTCATTGCTCGACGAGATTTGAACCGTATACCCCTACTTTCTTATTCCTAGACCTGTACTACTGGGACACCCTATCGTGACATTTGCTAATTAATAAGTTAATATACTAAAAGTAAAAGTAAACATTATATATGTAACATTATACAATGATGCGTTTATAAATAAATCGGTGATGGTTTTTAATATAGAAACTGGTGGTAAATATACTTGTATTTACAATCAGGCCCGGATTAAGGCGTAAGCAGTGTAGGCTTCAGCCTACACAACCACGGATTTAGGGGCACGGGCACTACATACTATCCTTATTTTTTTTTTCTAAACTAGAAAAATTGTACAATCTGTAAAATAGTTATTGACAATAAGCACAATACTATCCTGATGTTATTTTTATTTAAATAATATCGGAAATTTGAAATAGTAATAATCAATGCGTTTTGTCGTGCGGTCTTCTAAACCTCGTTTTATTTTTAGATTGTTATTTTTCCGTAGAACCGGTCGCACACCATTAACGTGTGTAGAGCCGCAGACGGCAGACAATGCCAGTGCGTTTACTTATTTATATTTGTCGTAGCTCGCCGCCGATGGTCATAAATTGGGTAAAATAGTATAAAATATTAAATAGTAATTAGTATTTCGTATACACGCGTCACGTGCATCGAAAATTCGTCCGTTTGATCGTACGATTCGTACGTATGTTTTGTTAACACTATTGTAACTTGTAAATTTAAATTATAAAGGTTTTACTTTAGTGCGAGTAGTGCATTTTATATATAGTTTAGTGTTCGATATTTATGTAAAAATGGATCAGAAACGACATATTAGTGGAGCACAAGCGAGAAAGCGTGCAATTGATAAAAAAGAAAAAGAAGTGATTTTATTAAGTAAAATACCTAGGTTAAATAATTTTTTCAAACAAATAAATAACATTACCCCTAGTTGTGTTGAAGATAATAAACTAGAATCTTCAAATGATATAACTATTACTAATAATTGTTCTACTACTTCTACTTCTATTCAATGTACTGCGTCTTCTTCAGATCAATCAGTTGTTGATATAAATGAGGAATCAGAAAAATCTGAGCTAAATGTCATTCCTAATCCTCTTACGCAGAATAATACAAATAATTTTAAAGATCCAGCAGATTGGACAAATAGTAATATATGTCGTAATTATATTGCAAAATTTGGATATGATAAGAACATTGATGCAGATTTTACCTCATTAAAACGAACTTATTCTGATTATGATCGTTATTGTAGTAAATCAATCTTTACGAAAAATCGAAAAAACGGAGAAAATGTTTCACGGAAATGGCTTGTTTATTCAATTTCAAAATTTGTATTATTTTGTGCTCCATGCAAATTATTTGGATGCAGTACTCAACTGGGAGATGCTGGATTTAATGATTGGAAAAATGGACATTTAGTTATTTCCAGGCACGAAAATTCTTTGGCACATAAAAATAATACATTAAGTTTTATTACATTACAAAGTGATGTAGGTAGAATTGACACTCAATTGGCAACACAAGTGACTGATGAAATTAATTACTGGAAAGCTGTTCTTCATCGAGTTGTTGAAGTAATTAAATTTCTCGGTGCAAAAGGTTTATCATTCAGAGGTGATAATGAACAATTTAACAAAATTAACAATGGGAACTTTTTGGGAAATTTGACCCTTTTATTGCTCAACATATAGAAAAATATGGGAATAGAGGGAAAGGAACTCCGTCTTATTTATCATCCACAATCTATGAAGAACTTTTACTTTTGATGAAGAATGATATAATTAAAATTATATTGAAAGAATTAAAAGCAGCCAAGTATTATTCTTTAATTGTTGATTCTACATCTGATATAGCAAACGTCGATCAACTTGTTATTGCATTAAGATATGTTTTACCTAGTGGTGTACCTGCAGAAAGATTTTTAATATTCATTCCAAACAGTGGTCATAAATCTAAAGAAATGAGCAATGGATTGCTATGTAATTGTAATGGATTTTCTTAATTCACACAATATACCAATTGAAAATTGTCGTGGCCAGAGCTACGACAATGCGAGGAATATGTCAGGTCAGTATTCTGGATTGCAGTCAAGAATTAAAAGTTTTAATTCATTTGCAGAGTATGTACCATGTTCTGCACATTCTCTTAACTTGGTCGGAACGTGTAAAGCAGAAAATTGTAATTCTGCTACTTCATTTTTTATGCTTCTCCAGGAACTATACAATTTTTTTTCTAGTTCTACTGCACGTTGGGACATTTTAAAAACATATTTGAAGAAAAATCTTAGTGTAAAAAAATGTATCAGTAACTCGCTGGAGTGCTCGTTTTGATTCTTGCCATGCTTTATTTAATTCTTATGCATTTATAATTTAAGCTTTGCATAGTATAGTTGATAATCAGAAAGAAAAAGCTGTATATAAAGTAGAAGCTAATGGGTTGCTTGCAAGATTAAAAACTTTAGAAACTGGTTTAATGATATGCATATGGAATTCAATATTAAACAGGTATTTTTCACTCTATAAATTAATTATTTTTAAATAATAAATTATGCTTTCATTTATTTTATTTTATTAGGGTCAGCTTAATAGATAAATAAATTAATATAAAGTTTAATATGATTTTAGTTTTAATGCTACAAATAAAAAATTACAATCAACTGACATTGATCTTCATACAGTATTAGAACTATATAATGGCCTTGAAAATTACTTGGTACAGATCAGAGATAATTTTGATGTTTTTGAAAATAAGGCTGTAGAAATTACTGGTTGTTCGGAGTATACCAAAGATTCCAAGAGAAAAAAAAAGAGAAAGGTATGTTTAACTTATTAATTTTAAAATACACATAAAATAATTTGAAAAAAGTCATAAACATTAACAACATTAAAAACTATTTTTTTTTTTAGGCTATGGCTGATGAATCAAGATCTCAACCTCTCACAGAAATCACAGGGAAAATAGATTTTATTAGACATGTATATTATGTGATAATTGATACTCTTAAATGTCAACTTAGTTCAAGAAGACAAGCTTATGAAAAAATATCAGATATTTATGGGTGTATACCCACATTGTATAAAACACCGAGTTCTATTGTTATAAGGAACACATGTGGAACTTTGGCAAAATATTTTATTGATGATGTTGAAAACTCAAGCTTACTTATAGATGAGTGTATTCTTTCTTCAAAATTAATTTCCACGGATAAAAATGTAAAATCTGTTCTCTCTATGTATAAGTACATCAAGACTAAAGAATTAGAGTGTATGTTTCCAAATTTAGAAATAGTTATGCGTATGTACCTTAGTACAGCAGTTTCAAACTGCTCAGGCGAAAGAGCTTTTTCTGTACTTAAAAGAGTAAAATCCTACTTGAGGTCAACCATGAAGGAGAAAAGACTGAATGCATTAGCAATATTTAGCGTTGAAGCAGAATTGGTTGAAAAATTAGATTTTAATGATACTATTAACACATTTGCCCATCAAAAAGCAAGAAAAAGAAAAGTATAAAATAATGATTTGTTACTTTTTGTAATATGATTATTTTATATTTTTATATATCTAAAATATATTTTGTTTAATTTTAATTTTATGTTTTTACTTGTTTTCACATAGGTATTATATACATGTACATATTGATGTGGCTAATAAACCTAAAATAAAGTTTTATTATTTATTCAAGTATCGAGTAGAGAAATGTGTACAATATTTTTTTTTAATTGGGGGCACCAAATTTTTTACAGCCTATGGGCACTATAGATCTTAATCCGGGCCTGTTTACAATAAATTTTTATTTTTATAGTATATTATAATAAATAAACTATTTAGTATTATTAGGAATAATTTTCAATAAATTATTTAGGTATATAATTTATTATATTCATATTTAATAATATATACTTTACTGCTTTATTGTCAAACATAAAATTTAAAATGAAATCTAATAAAATAGCGAACAACGACTACAAAATAAAATAATAAATCATAACCAAATCATAAGTATACAGTTCTACATCGACCGTCGGGATGACGAAAACATACAATATTCGATAAAAACCTAATTATATATATATATCAATATCAACATATTCGAAAAGACGGCAATTAGAATGATAAAACTTGATATGATGTTTTGAGTAAAACCCTTCGTGATAATTCTTATAATTTATTATTATACAGACGCAACGTACACAACGCACCAATAAATGCGCGTTTTTCGATTTACTTTATTCATCATACTATTATGGTCATTATAGGCATAGTGAAAATGTTAAATATAATTTTATTTAGTAGATAATTTATATAGATTTACAACTTCAACAAAAATCCATGGTCCAATAATCGCTAGAGGTACGACAGGTTCCGTTTGTATCATTATAGTTATTATTATAGTCTATAACAGCGTTTCCCAAACTGTGGTCCGCGGACTCTGAGGGCTCCGCACGTATACCGGAGGGGGTCCGCGAAAGTAAATTTAAAATTTACAATGTTTGCTTTTAATTTTTATTTGTACTAAGAGGTCCGCGATCATTTTTATTATCTCTATGGGGTCCGGCAGTAAAAAAAGTTTGGTATTTCAAATTATGTTTCGTTAATAAATAATAAATAATTGACCGCAAGAAAACGTTATATACATATATTTTGGTTTTTTATTTTTTGCTTAACATGGTAATTATTCATTATATACTGAACTACGCATGAAAGTCCTTAATATAACTAAATTATCCCGAACTTCATGCGATGACACATAGAAATTGAAATGTGTAGTCAATTTTGGGACTCAAACAGGCCTTCGCATATAGATTAATGATTTACATTACATGTTCAATCTAAATGTGCCTACGTATTGGAGTCTTTTTTGCGATAAGTTTTTAGTGATGTTCATGAAATGGATAATGGATATAAAACGGGGAGGTCACATTTGAGATCCAAACAGAATATCACATAGTAGTGGAAGTCACAATATTGCACACCGGGTATACATATCTTAATTAGACAATCAAAGTTACAATGTAACGAAGTTATTTGATTACAATGGAATCGATAACCGATAGAATAATGTTGATTACTTAGATCATATACAATGGAATTTATAATATATTTATAATTTGTGAAGCCAACATAACAGTTGGACCCCAGTGATATGCGCATGCGCGTGGCATCTTATCATTCATTTTTGGCGCAAATATTGGTGCAAAGATTCCGCC